ACTTTTGTGTTTTTCTTATTTTCTTTGGCTTGGATTCATAACTAAATTTTTTTGGATAGTTTCTTTATTAGATATTATGAGCTAACTTATTTTTCTAAGGTTACAATTAAACTCACATGTAATCTAAACTTTTAATCTCTTTCTTGCTTATCTTTAATGGGATTTGAATTGTTTATTCTAATTTATTCTCAATACTTTTAATTGCCTAATCACCAATTAAATTGATTTAAGAACCTAAACAAACTTTAAAAAGAGAGTTTAATGAAGACTAAAATTGGGATAGCATATGATCAGATTAATTGATTTGCGTATAGGATAGTGATATACCTATAGGCCATGTGTAGCCAGATTAGTGCCTGAACTTAATAAGTTTGTTTTAATTTCAATTCACATAGGGATATAGTGTTTTAGTAAAATAAATATTTTTATAAGATGAGTCGGGAGACCCTTTATAAATAATTTAGAACTTTAGCTTAGCAATTCAACCCGTTCAAATAAGTTAATGAAGAGAGGTAAGATTTAAATGAAATATGAGCGATATTGTAATCCTAGGCTTGTTTGATTTGATATTTACTCAAGTTATTATTTTAATTTTTCTTCTTGGTTTAAATTTTAGTTAATTAGTTTTATTTAATCAATTAATTTTGATTGTTTGGATAAAATTAATTTGTTCTAATTTTAGTACTTAGTAAAATTTTAGATCAATTCTCTGTGGAATCGATACTCTGCTTGCTAATATACTATCTTTTCAATACGTATACTTACATAGTAGAATTTTAACTGACAACAGTACATGATTAAGGCGACATATTTGGTTCTTTCTTTTACCATTTTTCTTTTGCTATTGGCTTTTTGCTTCATTGAAAGCTGCCATAGAACAAAAGCAAATGGTAAAGGGAGAAAAATAGTTTATCAAAAATCGAGCAAGAAGTTACACTGTAAGATCATTTGAAGCATAATTATTCCACATAACAGTACAAACATGTACTTTTTTATCCACAAAAATTATATATTTATTTTTAAATTTTTAAAAGTTCTATTGCTTTTCTATCTAAGCCTAATTTTTAGGTTTTGCTTCCACAAACAGAAAAGTGACTAAAAAAGGTAACAACCAAAAACCTGAAGAATCTTTCAAATATAAATCCAAGAATACTACAAGGTGACATCAGATATACCAAGTTATTTGACAGCTTGCTGGTCGGGGGTGCAGACAATTTCAACGGCCTCATATGTTATGCAGTTAAAATGAATTATAATTATATTTACACATAGATGTCTAAATTACTCTAGTAGTAATAATAAGATCACAATTATTTCAAAATAATAATAAAAGTTATATATTCTTGTTTTGTTTTAATACCTTTTCCACCCTAGAAGACCACTTAATTTCATATACTAACTGATAGCAGCCAAAAGAGTGATAACTTTTTGTTCAATGCAGAATTTCTTCAGTAATTTGTTATTTAATTTACATATTAATAATGATGAGTTTTTTCACAAGTTCATTGGAAAGGGCCATTTATTATTAAGCATAATATACAGCCAAGGAACAGGAGGATAGACTTCATAGAAAGAAGCTTAAGAATTCCCTCACAGGTTCATCACCAAAGGGCCATTAATTACTAAAGCCACACATAATTTGCAAACAAGAAATAAATTAGAGAAGACAGACACCATTAAAAGAAAATAATCTGTTAAAAACAAGTCTTCAAAAAAAATTTTCATGCAGCCAAAGCAGATTATAAGTTTTGATGTCCATTTTGTACCTTAAAACGAGCATGCAAAGTCAACAAAACATCGTTCAATAGTGTTGCTGGCCAAGCTGGGTCAGAAAGCTCCGATGCAATAATGGATTTTAGTTCATCAAATGATTCATGTGGACTTTGCATCCAAATCAATGCCTTGATTACCATTGCCCGAACATAAACACACTCACATGCCACAGTTGTTCTCACTACTTCCATCAGTGAAGCTAGCATACCTGCAATCGTATCCTTACCACCACCAGCATTAGATACAGAGGTGGTTCTTCGGATACCTACTGTAAAAGAACAAAGAATGTAAGAATTGTCTGGCTTTAAAACATTCACACCTGAAAATATTTAAACCATTAAAACTTCATTAACCCACAAAATTTTAACCAGCTACAATAAACACACAAGTTTGGAGGGCACTATGATACATCGTCCTCCATGCCCACGCATGAAAACCATGAAAGAAGAGTACATAAGCAACTAGTAAAGTATAAGACAGATACAACAAATGACATACTGAAGGTGCCATGATCAATAATACCTGCAAGCACTACAAGAATAAAGCTGAGTAATTCCAGAAAAGTAATTTAATTTACATGTTACCTGAATTCCACAATATAAGAAAAGTGTCCCAAATGATTTTATAATATACAAAGGAAAAGGTTGAACTAAACTAAATCACCAGGAGGTATAAAATATATAGGTAGCATTTGGGAACAGAAATTTGAATATGGGATATGCATTCCAAATTCATGTATTTAAAATATATATTCAAAAACTCATTGATTGGATAAAATATAAGAGTTAAGGATGTGAATCTGAATTTTCATGGTTGAAATTTTATAATTTGGAAAATGATAGTATGTTTCTATATGTTGATATCAAATTACTTCAATTTTCATCAACACTCATAAACAAATTTAAAAGAATGAAACAAATGAATTTAAGAAGTTAGGAAAAATAAAGGGGATTATTAGCTGTTTTCTAAGGACGCACTAGTAAACGTTTAAAACTAAAGCATTACCTAATTACTGATCAACTCCAAATTATAGCTTTCACCACACCAATTTTTAATTAGTTAATCAATGAAACATAACAAAAATTTGCGGGCACCATCATGTAGAAACCCTTGTGAACCACATATCAGTGCCTAAAATATGTTTTTAAATTGCAGCATTTGGAAATACCATGGATTTGACCAAAATTTTTCCTTTTTTTCCCTTGTTCTTTGCCAAATAAAAAATGGCCAATATCTGCCAACCATTTTCTCCTTTTTTTCTCATGGCACTAGATTTTCCAGGGAAACAGTAGAAAATCTTACTCAAAAGAAAAAGGCAAAATTTAAGAGAGAAAGCAATCAAAGAAACTATGGCTCTTCATGGTTAGGGATTGATGTAGGAAAAATGTCTCAAACTATGGTGATACTGGAGTTTTCAATGCACCCTCATCAAAGCTAGGTGTATGTATGAGAAAGAGTAGGAACCGAGCAGGAGAGGAAATGAGCAATCAACAAGTCATTGAGGACCGACAATGCATGTAATTACATAGGTTCAGTGGGTATATGAAATACATGGATGTGAGCTCCTCAAATTCTTTGCAGATTTAACCCAAATTCAAAATAATGCCCCATTTTATAATCCGTTATAGATTTGAGGTTGGAGACCCAAATTCAAATTCACCCCAACCCAATTTCGGGGTCCCAAACAGACCATAAGTGATTTGAGCAAACAAACCTAAAAAAGTATAAGTGCAAGTCAGATTTGAAAGCAGCTAAATATGCAACCTCAAGAAAACAAAAAACTTTCTGTTCAGTAATCTAAAAAAAAATTGATTCACTAATACAAACAAACAAGAATGTCAAAATCGATCACTGAGGTACCTCTAAATATTACATAAAAGACCACATGATAGATATGAACCAATATAAAGTACAACAGAAATAAATATTTAATGAATAAATAACATTACCTTCGGGATGTGGGTTGTCATTCACATCTGAATCAAGTGATTCTGCAGTCTCAACGAATGTATTCACATAAGCTCCTTCATCAAGATCTTGTATGCCTAGAGCAACTGCTGCAGCTCTGCTTTTTCCCATCTCCTGAACCACTCTAGCAGCAGCATGGAGTACTGGTCTAGAGAAACTACGAAAAGAACTCTCCAACCTGGTTAAAGATGGAATGTGAATGCAATTAAAGGTCGATAAACGTTGGGGGCATTAACCGACTATAACCCATTCTTCAAAGAGAAAAATCTTTCAAAACAATCAAACCATATGAAGATATTACGTTCCACACCACAGAAATAGGGGGAAAGAGGAAAGAACTTTATAGACCTTCTCATCACAAGTTTAATAAGGGGTTGTGGGCGCCTCGTCTTTTGAGTTTTATCTTTGGAATTAGATGGTGCTTCTGGCAACTTCAGAATCTCCCTAGTTAAACGATACCACCCTGCAGCCCGCTCTTCTGTCCTGTAGAATATAAATCAAAGACTGGGAAGTTGTGACAATAACACATTGAAGCAACTACAGCCTTCTACAAGAATGATAAAAGTTGAACAAAGATAGGTCAAGCAGAAAAATAGGATAAAGAGCATACTTTTCAGTGTTATCATGTTTGCCCAATATACATAATATCGCCTCAAAACAGACTCTTTCACTGGGATCCAGCAGGAGTTGATAGAGCACAGTGTTGAACTGAGACTTAATGTCAGGCCTCTCTACCCAAAACACAGTTGTGAAAACAGTCATCTAATGAATTCAATAAATGCAAGCAGGCTTTGTCAAATAAACTTACCATCTAATGATCGAGCTCTGGATATCGTATGGCACAACCTGGCGAGTGAAACTCTAGCAAGCACATCATGCAAATGGAGAACATCTTGCAATGCCCCTGATTCATGTAACACCAAAAAATCTTAACAGCAATACCTAGAAAATGTCATAAAGCAGTGATCATAAACCAGATAAAAAGGATTAAATAAAACCTTGAAGTGCCATGAGCAACTTTTTCTCACTGGACAAACTGAGACAAGACTCAATAATTAAAGATTTTTTGAAGTGTATCACAGCTGACAAAAGTGTGCTTAGATGAGCTATTTCTTAAAAGGATTTCATTAAAAGGAGGGATTTTAAATTCCAAAAACCAATATTTTCTGGTTTGCAGTTTAAGAACTTAGCAGGGATTTGCGAATCCAAATAACTTTTGCAAAGAACTTAAAGTAAAGAGTAGTTCACCCTCTCTGTTTTCTATTATTTTAATATAAACACACCACTTTGGCAGACTCCACTGCTAAATCACTCTATTCTCTATATTAACATGGTATGAGAGCAACCACCCTTATTACTGCCTTAACCGTACTCTCCAAAATCTAACCTCCTTTCCTCTTCAAAAAGAAAATGCTAGGATCATCATGACATCAACTTCCTGGTAAGGTCCAATGACATCACCAGTAAGAATGCCTCGCCTTGTCGATAAAAATCACTCAATTAATTTTAGAAAATGTGGGTGCTTGAGGTCAATTGTTGAAATAAAAGTCAGTGGTTAGAGGGTCAAAATAGACCTGATCTAATCTTTGAGAGATTTCAGCATTTTTAAACTTATTCAGCTGATCCAGCGAACTAGATGTTTGTAATGAAACCAGGCAAGCATGCCCAGCCGCTTTCCTTGATCAATTGAATCCCTATTACTGCTCAATTTCTCCAGTTAGTACTTTCCTGCCCATATCTTCTCTTAACAACACGCTGATTTGGTTCTTTGAAGAGCATCAATCCCTCTCTATTGTGCACGCTATGTTTTGCTTCTATTATGTTTGACCTATGCCAAGTTGTATATCTATTGCAGTTGTGTTATTGGCTCAATTTCTATGGTAACCGTTCAGATATACACCCAAAAATTGAATGGAACTAATATTAACAGAGTCAAACGCAATTAAACTGTATTTGACAGACCTAGGCAAGTCTCAGCACCTTGCTGAAGGTCCTCTCAAGGTTCTGATGAGAAGTCAGAATAATGCTCACAAGCAAATGTTCAAATTCATTATTACTTGTGTAATTCTATATAACCAAGAGTAGCAAACATGTGTACATGTCACGGGGCGATACTTAAGACCACTTCCGTGCGGCCTTGGGCTCACCCTTATCCACAGCCAAGGTTCCCCACCCATTTCCCTTTAAAATTTCCCTCCAAAGGATTTCCCTCCAAAAATTTCCCTCCAAACATTTGGGAGGGAAACTAAGGTTTCTAGAAGCTCATTTGGGAGGGAAATCCCTACATGGGTCTTGGTGGCTGGCACCCTACATGGGTCTTGGTGGGCTGGCACCCTCTTGGGTCTCTTGGCGGGTCTGGCTGTGGCGTGACACCCTCCCCACCTAAGCTGGCAGCGTCCTCGCTGCCGTGTGGAAGGCGTCGATCCGATCTTTGAACTGCCACAAGTCTTCTTTAGATTCCCAACTAGTTTCACTTTCGGGCAGTCCCTTCCACTTTACTAGGTACTGATGCTGGGGCATGTGGTGCTTCCGCCGAAGTACCCTATCGGCCAGCACTTCTTCTATTTCTCTGTCGTATGCTGCTCGAATGCCCACTGGAGCCCTACTACTTTCCCCTCGACTAGGGTCATCTTTATCCGCATGTTAGGGCTTTAGTATACTAACATGAAATACCGGGTGCACCTTTGGCTTGAGCGGCATGTCCAACTTGTATGCCACCTGGCCGATTCTCTTGATTACCTGATATGGCCCCTCGTACCTTCGAACAAGACCTTTGTGCAAGCCTCTGTTCCTTAGAACTAGATGTAGCTTTACCATTACCATGTCTCCTTCGTTAAAATGAGCTTCCCGTCGGGTTTGATCTGCCCACTTCTTTGCCCTCTTGGCAGCCTTGTGGAGACATGTTCGGGCCAAGTCCTGCTGCTCTTCCCAGCTTCTGGCGGCCTTGTATGCAGCTGGTGCTGAACCAGTATAGCCCACGGCAATGGCACTTGGTGTGTGGGGCTGTTGTCCAATCACGATTTCAAACGGGCTTTGACCGGTGGACTCGCTGCGCTGTAAGTTATGCGAAAATTGTGCTATGTCAAGCCACTTTTGCCAGTCGGACTGCGTGCCCCGCACGAAGTGCCTTAAGTAGAGCTCCAGCAACGATTCGCTTCCGCCGCTCAGTTTGCCACCATCCGCTGTGGGTGGTTGCTGGTGAAAAGCACAGTTCAGACCCCACCAGCTTAAATAATTCAGTCCAGAATTTTCCCGTGACGGCCATCCCGATCGCTGATGATGGTGCGCGGAACGCCCAATGTTTGACGATGTTCTTCAAAAACACTTGGCGCTTCTTCTGCAAGACATCCCTTGTGGCTGGTATGAAAGTGACGTATTTGAGAACCTATCCACCACTACCAATACTGCCAAACCCATCCGCTTTGGGCAGCCCCATGATCAAGTCCATACTCACGCTGTCCCAAGGTTGTGTCCGGCACTGGCAGAGGGTTGAGCAATCCCTCGGTCTTTGCTGCTCGACTTTGTCCTGTTGGCATACCAAGCAAGTCCGGACGTAGCTCTCAACATCATCTTCCATCCTGGGCCAATATGTTCGGAGCTCAATAATGCAGCATCCGGTGCATTCCCGGATGTCCCGCCCAATGGCTGTCGTGCATTCCTTCAGCAGTTGTTTCCGCAAGCCCATACTGAGGAACATAGAGCCTGTTGCCCTTGGTGTACACTAGCCTTCGCTTGCCAAAACCGTCTGATCTTGCCTGTCGTGGCATGCTCCAGTATGGATTGTGCGTCGGGTCGCCTGCCATGCCATCTTGGATACGGTAGCAGCTCTGTGTGCAAGATGGCAGCCAGTGTAGCCTTCCTGCTCAAGGCATCGGCGTTAGCCTTGCCTGGATACTCCAGTTCGTAGTCGAATTCTGCCAAGAATCCTGCCACCTAGCTTGCTCTTGGGCTTAGCTTTTTCTGGCTTTGGAGTAGGATTGGCTACATTGTCTGTCCGCACCACAATTTGGCCCCAACAAGTAATGTCGCCATGTCCGTAAGCAATGTACCACTGCGTCATCCTTTTCCTGAACCGTATACCCGTCTCTCGGTATCGTTCAGCTTTCGACTCTCATATGCAACTGGATGCCCGGCTTGCATCAGTACACCGCCAATGGCAAAGTCGCTTGCGTCTGTATGCACTTCATATGGCAGCATATGGTTTGGTAGTCCCAACACCGGTTGCTCGCTCACTGCTTGTTTCAGCCGATCGAAGGCGTGTTGGCTTACTCCGCGTTAAGCTCGACCTTTCTTCAACATGTCGGTGAGTGGTGCAGCAATGCCCAGTACCCCTCGATGAACCGGCGATAATAGTTGGCCAACCCAAGGAACGATCTTAGCTCCCTTACCTTGGTGGGCGGTTCCCATTCTTGAATGGCGCTCACCTTGGACGGGTCCATCCGGATTTTGCCATCTCCCACAATGTGCCCAAGGAACGGCACTTCATGCAAACCGAAGCAACATTTCTCTTTCTTTACATACAGCTCATGTTGTCTGAGAGCCTCAAAAACTTGTCGTAGGTGGTCAACATGGTCTTGCAACGAATGGCTGTAGACTACAATATCGTCAAGGTAAACAACAACAAATTTATCCAGAAAGGGTTGTAATACCTTGTTCATTAGGGTACAAAATGTTGCCGGCGCGTTTGTTAATCCGAACGGCATAACCAAAAACTCATATGCCCCATATCGAGTTACACATGCAGTCTTGGAGATGTCCCCTGCAGCTATCCTCACTTGGTAATACCCGGACCGTAAATCCAGCTTTGAAAACCAGCGTGCGCTACCTAACTGATCAAACAAGTCAGCGATGAGCGGGATTGGGTACTTGTTCTTCACCGTTAGTTTGTTCAAAGCTCGGTAGTCGATGCATAGCCTCAATGACCCATCATGTTTCTTTTGAAACAAAACCGGCGCACCAAAAGGGGATTTGGACGGCCTGATGAACCCAGCATCAATGAGCTCCCCGAGTTGCTTTCTCAGTTCTGCCAACTCAGGAGGCGCCATCCGATACGGTGCCTTAGCGGGTGGCTGTGCCCCTGGCACTAGTTCAATGTGATGATCCACTTCTCGTACAGGGGGTAAGTGACCCGGCAGTTTTGGAGGCATCACATCATGAAACTCCTCCAGCACCTCAAGCACTTCCGTCGGCGCCTCAATCATGCTGCCGGGGGTGTCCTCTAGACTCAAAACAGCAGCAAATGTTTGCTCACCCTTGCGTACGCCCTTGGCTAGCTGCATGGCAGACAATGTTTTCGTTGGCTGAGTGCGCCCTCGTCTGACCGGTACTACGCACTGCCCTTTTTGATCCAAGATACAGATGCAGTCATTGTGTGGCATGAGAACGGCTTGGATTCTGTCCAGGAAGCCAATTCCTACGGCTACATCATAGTCATCCATCGGGATGATCTCGATATCCACAGCCCCATGCCACTGTCCAAGCTGCACATCGATCCCTTTGGCAATACCCTTCGTGCGCACTCTCTTGGAGTTCACTGTCTTTACCCAGCCGCCTGCACTGTTGGCTCTAATGCCTAGTTTGGCGGCACACTGTTCGGACACGAAGAGTTCAGAAGCACCAGTGTCTACCAACGCTTCCACTGGTTGTCCCGCCATGATCATGTCGGTGTACATGAGCCCCTTGGCTCGACTACTCGTCTTGCTTACTGCCCCCAGCAGCACTGAGCCCAATCGCGCCGCCTGGTCTGATTGTGGCTCCTCCTCCGAGGCTATCGCCACTAGCTTGGTGCGCTTTGGGCAATCTCGGACCCGATGTGGTCCGTCACACAAGAAGCAACCCTTCAGTTGGTCCTTGTTTCTGAAAGATTTCCATTTCGAGGCAGAATTACCTCTCCATTTTGATTGTGGCTTGCCCTCGCCACCATCCTTGGGCTGGTTATCTCTGTCCGCCCAGCCCTTTTCTTTGTACTGCCTACCTTTATCAGCCCATCCCTTACCTTTATCCTTTGGCTTGGATGGCGTAGGTTTGTCCTTGTCGGCTCGGGAGTAATCTACCAAGCTTTCGGCCACTGCCATGGCTCGAGTGAGGTCTTGCACGCCTCGCCTCTGCAACTCTTGCTTGGCCCATGGTTTCAAACCATCCATGAAGGTGAAGAGGCCTCCCTCTCCCTAGATCACCACTTGAAGGGCAGCTCACTGAATCCTTCACATATTCCCGGATCTCCCCACGTTGGACCAGCCGTCGCAGCCTGCCCCTTGCCTCATCCATGGCATATTCGGGGTAAAATTGCTGTCGTAACTCCCGCTGGAAATCAGCCCACGTGAGTACCGGTGCTCCACCGAACCTATCATCGCACCGCCTCCTCCACCAAAGCAGTGCGGTATCTCCCAAATACATGGATGCCGCGATGATCCGTCGGTCATCCATCACGATCCCAGTGGCTTTAAAGTATTGCTCAAGCCCCCAGAGAAAGTTGTCTATTTCCTTGGCATCCCTCCGGCCTCGGAATTCTCTCGGCTTAGGCACATCTAGCCTTACTTCTGTATGTGCGGCAGCCTCTCGGACACTATTGGCCCTTGCTGTCCGCACTTCCTCTTTCAATTCATCTAGCTCACGCCTCAAGGCTTCCATTTCTTTTGCCAGTTGGGCGTTTCGTTCCATGGCCGTCTCAAAGGTCTCCCTTACCATCTCTTGAACTTCCCCTCTAAGTTCTTCATCTCGAGCATGAAGCTCTTCCATGTGCTCCTCCTGCACATCAAGGCGGTCACGTGTCTCACCCACGGTTACCTCCACCCTGGATAGCCTAGCATCCAGCCCAGGGATTGGGTCTCGTGAGGCGGACTTTGCCTTCCGACCAGCACGCGTCTCTCTGACCTCGAGAGTTTCCTCGGGCATGTTTGATCCGCTAGTGGCCATTCCTTCCTTTAAATCACCTCTTTACTTGCTTGGGAATTTTGTCGAGCACCTGGGTCGCAGATACTTCCCTCTGGTTTGGGAATTTTATCGAACCATAGATCGCACAATCTGGATTTCTGTCGAACACCTGGATTGCAACCGCTCTGATACCAACTGTCACGGGGCGATACTTAAGACCACCTTCCGTGCGGCCTTGGGCTCAACCCTTATCTCGGCACTTAGAACCCAAGTCAGCCTTAGTGCTTCAGCACTCGCCCAACAAGCACTCAACACCCACACAATGGCTTTAAGCCGGCAAGCAAGCTTGCATAAACGAGGAAGGAAAAATGGGAAGAGAATGCTAGAGAGAAAAACTAAACTTGTATTGAATGAATTGAGATACAAGTGTGTTGGATGATTTACACAAGGAAGATGGGGTTATTTATAGCCAAGGTTCCCCACCCATTTCCCTTCAAAATTTTCCCTCCAAAGGATTTCCCTCCAAAAGATTTCCCTCCAAAACCATTTGGGAGGGAAACTAAGGTTTCTAAAAGCTCATTTGGGAGGGAAATCCCTACATGGGTCTTGGTGGGCTGGCACCCTACATGGGTCTTGGTGGGCTGGCCCCTCTTGGGCCTCTGGCGGTCGTGGGCTGTGGCCCGTGACATGTGGCCCGTGACATACACACCTTGATGCAGGTAAGTAGGTACAGGAGTATCTTAAGCTGCTTTATGTCTGATTTAAATTTCTAGAGCTGAAAAAAGTGATAGATCTATTACTGAATATTGTGCTGAGTTGAGGTACATTTCTAATGAGTTAAATAGTCTGCGACCATTTTTGTTGATATTCAAAAAATGCAGAATAAAAGCAAGCAAATGGTAGTCACCAAATTTGTTAGCAAACCTTTACCTATTTCTATACTGAGGTATATTTCTGGCAAGCTGGGCATATATACCATATTATATATGCTCCAGTTTGATGGTCAGAGTTAAGGATTTAAGGAAAGCGTACATCAATCTTTCTTTTCCTACTGTTAGTATCAAATACATAGTAGTCTACCACATTGGTAGACTATATATATTCCACCTCAATAGGTATAACCTCCAGAATCCCTTCCAAAACTATGTGTTGCATCCCACTAGCAACAACACCACAACTTGCCAACCACCAGACTACTTCCACACCATAGCACTCATCCATCCACCACCCTCAGTTTTATACCACCCCTACAACACAGCCAGGACTGCTCATAACATTGTGAATTTGAGTCAAAGCTGATGGTGATCACTAGTAGCAACAGTGAAAATGGAGCTTCCAAGGAAGAGAATTAAAACAAAAAAATTGAAACAACTAAGCAGAATTCTGTTCTTAGGAGCAATAATACAAACAACAAATTCTAGAAATTTCAAAATTTTAATGATGCATTTCGATATTCTATGGAAATTGAAAATTACTCAACCAAATACAACTTGAGTCAACTTGCAATGGACAAACTACCAAACATCCCATAAATTTCAATAACAAAGAATTTAAATGAAGTCATCACATTAATAAACCTAGGAATTATTGTTCAGAAAATAGTCAACTAGCTTGGGCGAGCAAAGCATGTAAAAGTGGCACCTAGCTTTTCTTCAATCATCCACCTAATGAATACCAGTTAACAAAGGTCATTTCAAGAGACAACTTTGAATACTCGGTAAAATTCATGAAGCCCCAACTAAAGATTACAACATAAAACTTAAATGAAAATCAAAACCTGAAAGATGATAGACCTCCATCCCATAGATGGAGAAAATACAAAAAAAAAAAAAACTGATTAAGTGCCATTATTTACAAAAATATATTCTAATGGTGGAAATTTTGCCACAAGGTACAGCCAAAATACCAATTAATTTAAACACTGTACCTTATAGAAATAAATAGACCACTGTAAACTCTACATGGCATGAGATACCTCAATCCATAACTTTCAGTTTTCACTTTAAGCTATTATCTATTACTATTTCTTATATCCTCGGGTACTAAAGTTTTTCCAATGATTTCAGGCCTACTAGTTACCAGTTGGATATTGTCCTTTCAGTCTCTCTTGATTAGACTCAAATCCATATACATCAACATTTTAAAAGTAATATAACACAAAACACTCAGCATAGCAAGGAAAGAAGAAGAAAATGACATTATGGAGAACAATGATTGGAATGAGTACCTCCTGGAGCAACAAGCTTTCCTGCATAAATATGAAAAAGGTGTTAGGCACTCATACACGCAATAAACTTCATACCAGAACATGAAAACCAACATTTTGATGAGGTAGCACCAATAATCTGAAAGTAAACAATTAAGAAATAAAAACACAAAACTCAGTATCTCAATCATCAAAACACTACTTGAAACTGAAATTATATTGGTACTTAGAAGCTAAACCTTAAACACTAATACAAATACAAAAAATAACCCTATAGTACCCTAAATACTAGAAATCACAATAATGCACATAAACTGAATAAAGTAATAAAATAACAATACTAAATAATTTACAATTCTTCAATCAGTTTCTTTTCGCACCAATCATTGCTATGATAGAAACTGCAAAAGAAAAGTTGAATTTGAAGACATCACCTGAAGCCATTGCAACTGCATAAGGGTCTCTTATGGCCAAGTCAGAGATGATTTCCAAAGAGTGTCTCACAGCAACAGGATCAGCAAATGAAATCCTGCAGTGAACAATTAAGAAATTCCAAAATCTAATGATACTGGAACTACAACATAAATCAAAAATATATATCGCATTCCATAACTTGAAGAGAACTGAGAAAAGGGGAAGATCAGATATTAACAAAGAGATTTTAATTAAAAGGCCATAAATGAAGTTAAATTTGATCTTCTCCAATAAAATATTTTACAAAATCATGTAGTAGCTAATTTATGACACAAAATCTTGCAAAGCATTTAAATGATTTTGCAGCAGAGAAAATTTAAGAATAATTGCAAGCATAGCAAGCCAGAGCCCAATGTACTCAGTACAATGGAAAAGGCAATGTACCAAATGTAACAGGCCTCTCATGCAAAATTTTGCAAGCTCAAGTCTCGCACAATTAAGATGAACACTTTATAACACAAGCAAAATAACTTTCAAAAGGTTTTGAGAAAAACGAAACTGATAACACTACTAAAAAAAAGTTAAATGTAAGGGGAAGAAAAGTTTTTATCAACAAAAAACAAGCAATCAGTAATCAATCATCAACAGAATGAATTTAAACAACTATTGTACCTTAACCAATTTGCTAGCTTAAAAAGGAAAAGAAGGCTAAGCTGAATAATTGGATAAATAACCAACGAAACAAGAAATAGAAAATGTCAATGATGTATAACGTATCAGTATTACCCCGATTCCAAAAAGAACAAAGGTATGTGTAGAGAAAGAAAAACATCTATGTTTCTGAAGCTAAAAGGAAATTAATATAAACTAAATTCTCATGTCAGCAGCTAATAATATCACCCCAATTAGACTAAATTGCAACCAACTAATGTCATTTTCACCAAAACCAAAAACAAAAACAGATCCAATAAGAAAGATAAATCCTCATTTCATCAATGAAACCATGATTTCCAATATTTGAGTACTCATATGCTACATATAGCAGGATAATGGAACTAATAGCAAACACACTAAGGCAATTAACAGATTTTAACAAAAACTGAAGATCAAAATGTACAGAAAATCACCCCTGCACAGCACGATGCAAAAATGCTGGATTTCCCGGATCCAAAGGAAGTCTTCTCAAAGCACTTAGAGCAGCATATTGTAGATTGCTTCGGATGATAGACTGAACAGCCAATGCCCCAGAAAAAATAAATAAATAAAAACTGTCTATGACAAATCTTATTAAGTCAGCACAGTTGTGGCTCAATCTAATAGACAAGTTACAAGAGTATTATCATTAAATACGCCAAATATGCATATAGAAAAGAAAGGAAAATAATAAGTGCAAATGAACCCATTTAGAAACCAATTAACCTGTTAATCAAAGTAACAAACATATTCTCAACAGATTATATTCGGCAAAATAAGAAACCTACCCCTAAATCAAGACAGTGCAACCACTTTTCAGTAAAAAAGGGACAAAACCAGAAATCATAGGCTCCAATTAGTGCTCTATAAAAAATGACTAAGGACAGATGTGAGAAGTCTGCCTACCTAGGTTTTTTGCCAACCTAAGGTTGGACTTATGGCTAAGGTATAAAACATGGTTAGGCTGTGGGAAATTAGAGTATGACTTAGCAGAGATTTTGGTCTAAAATGAGAGTGAGAAAATCAGGGAAAGGTTGCTGGGCTTTTCAGGCAGCAGTAGAATTAATAGAGCTAAATTATGGCTGATGTTTTAAGCTCTGAATAGTAGTAGCCTGAGAACACCGTACCAAGAGAAAAGGTAGGGAAAACTCAAGTCACTCAATCACAAACTCTCAAGAATTCTCAAAAATTCAATGCTTTATTAAAAATCAACACTCCCAAGTCTAGCAATATAAGGATATATAAAAAGGTAAATATTCACTTATCCTCCTTGGACTAGGAATTCTAAAACCATTAGAATTAGTACAACGGCTAAACTATTATAAACCAAAGAATAGTGCAAAACTCCAATAACTAAATTAAATCCAAAATAAGACACAATAGACAATGACTAAGGCCTTTCTAACCAAACAAGAAAGTGCTAAAATACTCCTAGACACCAAAACTCAATTAAATTGATAACACATTACTCTAAAATGGTACCAATCTTATTTTTATAAGGAGTGAAACAAGAAAGAAATGATGATTATCACATTCTTTTACAAGTCTTTCAGGCAATTGTCTGCACAATAAATTGTAATGTAGAATTATCACCCTTCAGATCTTCCCAAATTGGAGGGCTTTGTTGAAGGGTAGCTGAACATCTCAAATTCCCTCCAATTTCATTAATTTGTTTTAGAAATAAGGTAGAAAACAGAGTACAATTCCCCATTCCTTCCCTTAATTTTGCATCCTTCCCCTCTATCCATCCAAGGGTAAAAAAATGCATATAGTAAGACAAAGGCTCATGAATCTAAAAGTGAGTGTCACCATCATGCAAGAAACCAAGAAATATATCAATAAAGGATATGGACAAAGGCAACTAGGCATGCACCACTTGGTACAGAATCTGGCAAAGCTTATCATTAACATCAGCCATTGAGAAATTTTGCTAGTCACAACCACAAGCAATATTCTTACCTCTTTATCACCACCTTTAGCACCAAAAATTCCTTTCTTACGTTTGTGTGGAACATCGGCAACCTGAAAAGGAATATACAAAGTTTGTAGAATCATTCAAAAAGAAACTAAATAATCCTACAAAGAAAATATGCAAAACTAAAAATTTTCACATGCCAAAAGGTAAGAACAAATGGCATCTTCTATTAAACAGGAAAAACAGCTGTCAACTCCACACAAGTAATACAAGCTTATTCAAAAACCTTAAATTAATGCAAACCATAAAAATAAGCAATTAGTTACATCTAATTCCCCGATATGTAGGATATTATAACAACAAACATGACAGAGATTGCATGTAAAGGAAAACATATATCATGGACATTTCTTCAAAATAATTGCACCTAATATTTGGCATTAACATTTAATCACCACAATATCTCATTAGAATTATAAAAATCGCTAGATATTTTATTATAACCCATACTATACCTCTCAACAAAGTTCTATTCCCAACAATTACATATCAACGACAAGATCATGATTCAAGTTCACACAAAACATCTAGTTTGTTATGGTTCAAGTTTTGTTAAATGTCCATGCACCTAGGCGTGCCTAGGCTTCATAGCCTGACAAAAATTAGTAAAAGCACCGCACTGCCACCTCTAGGAGAGGTGCCTCAATTAGGTTCTTACCTCTGGCATGTAAACCACATCTAAAAAGAAAAAGGGACTGCATGTGTAACATGTCTCTTCTACCAGAATAGAGTAGCATTATCCATGTAAACTTTTCCACTGAGATAAAGCTACCATATCACTTAAAAAGGTACAAAGAAATCATTGAACTTTAATAATTATGCAATTAAATCCTTATTGTCTTATTGGGTTCGATTAAACCTAACAACTTCAGTTTTTTGTTAACTAAGTCCAATTATTAATACAAGTGGTCACATTAGAGTTATGCCACTAACATCTTATACAAGAAACTAAAACATCCACACTATAATCTTAATAAAACTAACTAAAACATACTTGAAACTAATTAAATTTAATAAAATATTACAAACATAACTATAAAAAAAATACCGCCACCAAGCTTAGCCGCAAAGCCTACCAAGCACTATTAATGTGCTGTGCATTATCATTAAAACTACCAGATTTAAAATTGAAAAACACCGAACTAACTCTTAGTGTTATATCGCAATTCAGTAAAGAAAAGTTAATGAAAGTGCACCTCATTTTTTCTATAAGCATATTCTCTTTTTCATATGTATTTGTACACTTATCATTTTTTCTTTGGAAATTAGCATCTTGTTTCAATCAGGCAATTGCATCTCGTGCCTGAAACAATGCACAGTCTCTAGCAAATTGAGTGCACCTAATGCTATTGACTACAAGCAGAAATCCTCAAGCATCTTTTAGGACTTTCTAACCTTTCTACATTTTAATTTCATTTTTAAATCCTTACGAGAAAAATTTTGAACATGGAGAAGCCATAGGTACTAATGCTCATAGAGTTTATAAGAAATTAAGCATACTCAAGTTTCTTGTATATACTCATTTATGCTGCCATAGTTTTATTGTTCATATATCGCTTATCCATCACACTAATAGATTCTTAGTTTCTTGATGCCATAAAATTGTTTTCCTACTCAACTAAGACATAATCCCAATCTAGTTGGGTTGGTCACATGAATCCCATGGTTCCATTCCACCCAATAAGGGCATATCCTCTAAAAAAATCCAAGAACCCAATCAATTTTTATGGCTTCAACCATGTAAGCTGTGGTCTAATTATACTTTTCATTTGTTGTAGATGGATCCAATTACTCTTACATGCTGCAGTACCCATAAGTCAACTAAATCCAGTCACCCTTCCCTCATTCTATCCTCAGTTTATGCCACTTACCTTGTTACAAGTAAGTTTGCATGTGTTTGGTCACAAAAAGTACACAGTTTTCATTTTCATACAAACAAAAAATGATAGAGAAAAGGAGTTTGCTGGTTAAGAAGAGCAAATGTCTTTCGGAAAATTAGAATGAAAGTAGTATTTTCTTTATATAGACATATATATATATAGTGGTTGCAAGAGTTTTCAGGAAATATGAAAAGTAAAAGCTGAAAAATAATGAACATATGAAAAACTTTTTCCATCCAACAAGCTACATAATCTGCTCAACTTCAAAACTTTAGAAAAAGAAACAACATATTGCTTTATAGTAACGCATTTATATCAACAAGATACACCTTAGCTGAAAGCAACAAAATACGGTTTGTGATTGGCCAAGAAAAAAAGACACTAAGGATTGTGGAGGGTATGGATGGACCAAAAGAAAACAGTAAACCCATATTTGTGTTTGTGTTGAAAATGTCCCAGATTATCTTTTTTGGGGCTAAGATGGCTCCCTGCAAACCTTTTTACATATTTATGGTAAGAAAAGAGAAAACATAAAGTGACCATCATTATTCAATTTGGGTTGGACCAGGGACCACCTCTACATTGAGTGGTTGAATAGTATCTTTTTCTTCAATAATCTTAACTAGACAGACATACACAAATAAGATGGCATTAACAACTTCTATGAATATATTTGAAAAGAAAATTAAAATAAATCAGAAACTGAATCGCAATAAGAATGACTCCCTTGAACTCATAATTATGGCATTTGAAATCCAACCAAAACCCACTTGGTGTCTCCAAAAGTCAAGCAACAGTCACTTTTAAGAATAGAATCAAGTAGCTACCAGCTATTCCCACACTCCCCTCCCCCTCTCAAAACGCTGCTCATGAAGCACATCATATGGCCAGCCAATGCACAGCATGCTTCCTTTTCATGTAGCACATTGCTTAGAGCGTCAATTTGGTCAAAATCACTGCAGGCAAACAACCCTACAACTCACCTATCTTCTCTTTTAACCAGAAACACAATTCAATTTTCTTAAGAAATCATATGTCCATGTCTAGTGTATAACAACAAAAAGACATAGTACAGCACTATGGAGATCTATTATTCATGAAGAAACCAGTGGACACACCTTATCAAGAATGCCAAACACAATTTCATACAATCTGGACAATATCTCAGTGTTGCTTGAAGGAGCATAAGTAAGGGCCTTCAGAGCTTGCAGTCTTCTCGCATGAACTTCACATAGACAATAAAGGTTAACCATAAGGAAGATAAAAAGTTCAAAAGAAAAATAATGCTACCAAATTCAGTAGGAAATCAACAGATTAATTTGTAGAAATGCAGGTTTTATATGAAAACAAACAACAAAGCAAACTAGAAAAAGATCATTAATTCTTTGGACTTACTTTTAAGGGAAAACACTAATTAGGCATTTCATCATGAATAAGAAATGGAGCATCAAGGAATTAAACGATCAAAAACATGCAGAATAGCTGATGCACATAATAAGTCAAATTGGGAAAGAGAGTCTATACATTCAACATCGCTATTTGCAGCCTCTGCTGTAAGCTGATTAACTATTCGTGGTACAACATCAGCCCTGGTCACCCCTCCGACAGCATCAATGTCAGCCAAAGCATCCCAGTTGGGAGTGGGAATCCCACCACCTGGATTTAGACCCTGGGAACCAGTATCTGCTAAAATTCTGGCCAAGTAATAATAGATATAACGCAGGACAGTCCTATCCTCGCACTGCTGATCAAGCTGTATGATGAAGAAGACACGATGTCAAGAAACACAGCTTCACTCTTATCACAAATTCCAACATTGTTCTAAAATGCCCAAGAGGAATGGAGACACAATAGAGAATGGAAGACAAAAGAAGCACATACCATGAGGAGAGATGGTGCCAAAGAAGGGTCAACAGAATTGTACACAGCAAGTTTGGGAAACACATGATGCACCAGTTGCTTCTGAGAACTTTTCTATTCTCAAAATTATCAGGGGAAAAACCAATATATTATGGAGAGAATTTCCAAAGTGAACCCAGACAAGAAAAAGCAAAGAAAAGAAAAGCAGCCAATGTTTACTTGATCAGACGTAGCAGCTAGTTCATGTATACTCCTCGCAAGTTGTGCATATGACACAGGCTGCAAAATCACACACAAATTGCATTTAAAATAAAGCCCAACTACACACCAACAAAGTAACGTAACAAAAAATGTTAGCTTTAAGACTAACTTATTCGCATCTCAAAGGCTATGATTTGTGAATTCAATAGAAAATAAAAGAAACAGATTAATTCAAAATCCTAATTAAGAAAGAGGATCCCTTACCTTTTTCTGCTTCTGCTTCTGGTGAGGAATAATGTTAGTACGGACGGGGTTGAGAGCTGCCTTAGCCACAGAGATGGTATCATTTTGGATCTGCATCAGAGCCGCTCTCTTGGACTTCTTCTCCCCCAAAGTGGTCTTCGTCGACACATGCTGCGGCTGCGTAGCAGAAGGGGACACTGTCGGCGTCGTCGATGATGTAGTGGAAGAGGATGATGCCGCAGGAACTGGCGTAGGGTCAGCCGTTATCAGATCCATGAGCGTCGTCCCCGCAGAGTCCTTAAAGAAAAGGAAAAGAAAATTGTAAAATTTTCTTCTAGACAAGAAAATTCGGACCGTTTGGTAGAGGAGCTTACCGTCATGGTTGTATGGAACTGAAATGAAATGTGATCTACAATCCGAAACGCAATAGAGACAGATGCAGAGATAACAACTACCGCTGCGGGAAAAGCTCACTAGTACTTTTCTTTGTCTCAGAGAGAAAGAGGCCTACTATTTTCCGAACGCTCTTCGTTGGCTAAATTCTGCACTAAGGTTATTATTTTTTAAGTTATCGTAAGGTTAATTAATAAAAATTATCATATCAATAAAATTAAATTATAATTATTAATTTAAAATTTATAAAAAAAATTAGTAAACTAATTCAACTGATAAATAAAAAAAAAGTTTTGATGGACTCTTTTTATATCTTATTAATAAAAATTATTTATTTACATTTCTTTTATTATTAGTTGAAATTTCATATTATAAATAATAATATTATTATTATAATAAATCAAAAAATCAAAATTAAAAATATATAATAATAAAGATAAAAACATATGTAATTTAAAATTACTATTAAAAAACCTAGATATAAAGTTTTTAAAAGTTATGATTAAAAATCCTTAACGTAAAGTAATAAAAATTTACATCAAAACACATAAAAATAAAATAATTAAATTTAAAATCTTAACATAAATAAGTAAAAGTTAACATAACAAGTTAATTAAAAAATTAATTTTAATAAAAAATAAATATTTAAATTTATATTCTTCAACTAAATTGTTTAACGATATACAAATTTTAATTTTTAAATAAAAATAATAATAATAAAAATAATTATAATTCAAAATTGATATAAAAAAATTTTGACATAAAACTGCAACAATTGACGTAAAAACTTATAAAAGTGAAATAACTAAATTTTAAATCTTAACATAAATGTGTGAAAGTTAACATAACAAGTCAATTAAGTAAAAAACTCTAATTTTAATAAAAAATAAATATTTATATTTATATTCTCGGATTAAAAGTATTTAACAATATATAAATTTTAATTTTTAAATAAAAAATAATAAAGATAAAAATAATTATAGTTTAAAAATTGACATAAAAATGTCTTGACGTTAAACTATGAGAATTGACATAAAAACTTATAAAAGTGGAATAACTAAATTTTAAATCTTAACGTAAACATGTGAAAGTTAACATAACAAGCCAATTAAGTAAAAAAAATTTAACTTTAGTAAAAAATAAATATTTAAATTTATATTCTTAAACTAAAAGTGTTTAACGATATACAAATTTTAATTTTTAAGTTTTGACGTAAAACTGTAACAATTGGCGTGAAAACTTATAAAGATTAAATAATTAAATTTCAAATCTTAACGTAAATATGTAAGAGTTAACATAATAAGTCAATTAAGTAAAAAAAATCTAATTTAGTGAAAAATATTTAAATTTATATTTTCGGGCTAATAGTGGTTAACGGTATATAAAATTTAATTTTTAAATAAAGAATAAAAAAAATTATAATTGAATATTGACATAGATAAGCCTTGAAGTAAAACTATAAAAATTGATGTAAAAACTTATAAAGGTGAAATAACTAAATTTTAAATTTTAACGTAAATATTTGAAAGTTAACGTAATAAATTAATTAAGTTAAAAAATTTTAATTTTAATGAAAAATAAATATTTGTGTTCATATTATCAGGCTGAAAATATGTAATGATATTCAAATTTTTATTTTTAAATAAAAAATAATAAGAATAAAAATAATTATTGCTCAAAATTGACATAAAAAGGTCTTGACATAAAACTGTAAGAATTGACGTAAAAACTTATAACGGTGGATTAACTAAATTTTAAATCTTAACGTAAATGTGTGAGAGTTAACATAATAAGTTAATTAAATAAAAAAATTTAATTTTAATGAAAAATAAGCATTTATATTTATATTATTGGGCTAAAAGTATGTAACAATATAATAATTTTAATTTTTAAATAAAAATAATAAAGATAAAAATAATTATGGTTTAAAATTGATATAGATAAGTTTCGACGTAAAACTATAAGAATTAACGTAAAAACTTATAAACTTGGAATAACAAAATTTTAAATCTTAACGTAAACATTATAAAGGTGAAATAACTAAATTTTAAATCTTAATGTAAATATTTGAAAGTTAACGTAATAAATTAATTAAGTTAAAAAATTTTAATTTTAATAAAAAATAAATATTTGTGTTCATATTATCACGCTAAAAATATGTAATGATATTCAAATTTTTATTTTTAAATAAAAAATAATAAGAATAAAAATAATTATCGCTCAAAATTGACATAAAAAAGTCTTGACATAAAACTGTAAGAATTGACGTAAAAACTTATAACGGTGGATTAACTAAATTTTAAATCTTAACGTAAATGTGTAAAAGTTAACATAATAAGTTAATTAAATAAAAAAGTTTAATTTTAATGAAAAATAAGCATTTATATTTATATTATTGGGCTAAAAGTATGTAACAATATAATAATTTAATTTTTAATAAAAATAATAAAGATAAAAATAATTATGGTTTAAAATTGATATAAATAAGTTTCGACGTAAAACTATAAGAATTAACGTAAAAACTTATAAACTTGGAATAACAAAATTTTAAATCTTAACTTAAACATGTGAGAGTTAACGTAACAAATCAATTAAGCAAAAAACTTTAATTTTAGTGAAAAATAAATATTTAAATTTATGTTTTCAGACATAAAATTTAACAATATATAAATTTTAATTTTAAATAAAAATAATAAAGATTAAAATAATATGTTTAAAATAGATATAGATAAGTCTTAACATAAAATTACAAGAATTAAAGTAAAAACTTATAAAAGTAGAATAACTAAATTTTAATTCTTAACGTAAACGTATGAAAGTTAATGTAACAAATCAGTTAAGTAAAAAAATCTAATTTTGGTGAAAAAAAAATATTTATATTTATATTTTCGGACTAAAAGTGTTTAATGATATACAAATTTTACTTTTTAAATAAAAAATAATAAGGATAAAAATAATTATAGTTTAAAATTGACATAGAAAAGCTGGACGTAAAATTATAAAAATTGACATAAAAATTTATAAAGATGAAATAATTAAATTTTAAATCTTAAAATAAATATGTGAGAGTTAACATAATAAGTCAATTAAGTAAAAAAATCTAATTTTATTGAAAAAAATTTAAATTTATATTCTTGGAATAAAAATATTAACAATATACAAATTTTAATTTTTAAATAAAAATAATAAGGATAAAAATAATTATAGTTTAAAATTGACATAGATAAGTCTTGATGTAAAATTGTAAGAATTGACGTAAAAACTTATAAATGTGAAATAACTAAATTTTAAATCTTAATATAAATGTGTGAGAGTTAATGTAATAAGTTAATTAAGTAAAAAAGTCTAATTTTAATAGAAAATAAGTATTTATATTTATATTATCGAGCTAAAAGTGTGTAAAGATATACAAATTTTAATTTTTAAATAAAAATAATAAGAATAAAAATAATTATAGTATAAAATTGATATAGATAAGTCTTAACGTAAAATTGTAAAAAATGATGTAAAATCTTGTAAAAGTAAAATAATAAATTTTAAATCTTAATGTAACGTGTAAGAGTTAACGTAACAAGTCAATTAAGTAAAAAAATTTAATTTTAGTGAAAAATAATATTTAAATATATATTCTCAACTAAAAGTGTATATATGTATAAATTTTATTTTTAAAATAAAAATAAAATAATAAAAATAATTATAATTCAAATTGGACATAGATAAATCTTGATGTAAAAATTTATAAAGGTGTAATAATTAAATTTTAAATCTTAATGTAAATGTGTGAGAGTTAACATAACAAGTCGATTGAGTAAAAAATTCTATTTTAGTGACAAATAAATATTAAATATATATTCTTTAGCCTAAATGTGTTTAACGATATATAATTTTTAATTTTAAATAAACAATAATAATAATAATAACAATTATAGCTCAAAATTGTCATAAATAAATCTTGACGTAAAATTGTAACAATTGACGTAAAAACTTATAAAGGTGGAATAATTAAATTTTAAATCTTAACGTAAATGTATTAGAGTTAACATAATAAGTTAATTAAGTAAAAAAGTCTAATTTTAATGAAAAATAAGCATTTATATTTATATTATTGGGCTAAAAGTATGTAGCGATATTCAAATTTTTATTTTAAATAAAAAAATAAAGATAAAAATAATTATAGTTAAAAGTTACTATTGAACAGGTTTGACGTAAATATGTAAAAATTAACATAAAATTTTATAAAAGTGGAACAAAAAAAGTTAAAATCTTAATATAATGTGTGAGAGTTAACATAACAAGTGATAATAATAATTTTTATTATTAATTAATTAAATATAATTTTAATATTAAAAAGTAATATTTTTATAGTTTAAAGTTAAAATAAAATAAAATTAAAACTTAAATACTTTTAATAAACTAAAATAAATTTAAAAATTATCTACTTTGTTATCCTAAAATGAATAAATTTAAAAATTATATATATTGTTTACCTGTTAACCTGTTAAACAAGTTTTTATAATTTTTTAAAATTTTATTTATTGACTTTACAATAAGGTTAGACTTACTGTAGCATTCACCCTCTTCGTTGTTTAACTTTCTTCTATTTTCTTAATTGTTTTTTTAATTAGCTTTCATTTTTACTTCCCATTGATTAGGTGAACACTACAGTAAGTATAACCTTACTTAATGTAAGATTAATTAAAAAATTTTAAAAAAATAAAAAAATTGTATAATAGGTTAAATAAACAACATGTATAATTTTTAAACTTATCTAATTTAAATAATAACGTAAATATTTTTAAACTTATTTAGTTTATTTTAAGTGATTTAACTTTTAATTTTCTTTTATTTTTATTATAAATTATAAAAATATTATTATTTTAAAATTAAATTAAATTAATTAATTTAATAAATTTATTCTTATCACTAGTTACGTTAAGTTTAACACATCTACGTTAAGATTTTAAATCAATTTATTACACCTTCATAAGATTTTACGTCAAGCTCTTTATAGTAATTTAAATTATAATTATTTTTATCTTTATTATATTAATTTAAATTAAAATTTTATATCGTTAAACACTTTCAGCCTGAGAATATAAATTTAAATATTTGCATTCATTAAATTTACATTGTTTTTACTTA